CTGATGGCTACAAATTATAAATTTGATGCTCATGTTTTTATGCTTAAATAAGATTTGAATTTGCCTCATCATACTATTTCTAAATTGGCTTTAATCTTATGTGGATTACAAAGTCTGTCTCATCATTCAAGGCAAAAWTTTTTTTAGCTTTTTCTCTGCACTTCGTCCCAGGAGTATACCATAATTATACATSTGTCACTCAACAGATGGGCTCCTGTCAAAGCCTCATCCCGTTTCTTAACACACAGTAAGAACCCACTTGATGACGTCTCCAAAAGACCCATGCATTTTCATGTCTTCGGTACGTCAGCAGACGTCTGTCAGAGGCTGTGTGGATTCTGATTGGCAAAGATGAGATTCGAGGCGTCAGAGCCAGCATGTGTAGATCTATTAATACGTCCACCTCTGCCGAGGGACTCCTGCTCTACGCACTCGTCCTCATTTTGACTCCCACTCAGAGAGCTGGGGGTTTTAATATCTGCAAATATGGAGCATGGAAGTGGGCCTCCAAGAATAGACCCAGACGGCCACGTGCCAGCGTCTTCGTCAGAGCCTGGCACAATCTGTTCTCCTCGCTTCCGCTCTCCATGGGAACGATAGTAGAGAGAGGTATCGTATTGACTGAGAGGCCGTGGGCGGGGCATCTGGCAGGCCTTGTTCCAGTCCGTCCTACGTCTGCTAGATCTTCTCGCCTCAGGATTAACTGTTACGTTTCAGGCGTTGTGATGCAACTGTTGCATCAGTTACAGCAGTTACACAAGGGCATGAAAGGGATCAATCAAAACAGTTCATTGTGATGAAAAGTAATGGTAGAGGTGATTTGAATTCACTGTGATGATCCAGATGTGCTCACTAACAACCTGGTTTCTGTTTTCTGTACAGGGGCGGGTGGTTCCTMTCATGAGGCCTAAAAAGCCTTTTCCCTTCGGCCTGTGCTGCCTCGTCTTCGGCCTGGTGGTGTTCCTGGCCGGAGTGGTGCTGGCCTCTGTCTTCATCCATCGCTCCTACTTCATACCTCAGGTTAGTTGAGCCCGCCGTCCTGCAAACACACGTCAAACCACGAGGTCGCCACGTAACACGCTAACTCCGCTCTACCTCCGTTCCCAGCAGCAGATCCCAGAGGACAGCCTGTTCCACTGCCGGGTCGTCTTCGAAGACTCGGTGTACGCTCCGCTGAGGGGACGGCAAGAACTGGAGGAGAACGTGGGCATCTTCCTGGAGGACAACTACGAGCAGATCAGCGTGCCCGTGCCACACTTCGGAGGGAGCGACCCGGCTGATATCATCCACGACTTCCAGAGGGTAGGCTCTGACTCCACGTCCTCTTTTTCTTTTTTTTTT